ACATTTAAGAAACGGAATGGCCGCGGTTTATTGTCCCCTCTGGAAGCAAAGGAGATCTTTAGCGGGAAATGATCCGATGGATGTCTGGCCAGGTGGACGACCGAGATCGCCGAGGCTACACCCAGACACTCTTCATTGAGTATTAATCTATCCAGCCGTTTCCATATCCGCGCTCGACGCCTCCTATTGTTGCACCATGTGAAGTTCGGCCTCGAAAATCCAGCATAAAAAACCCCTGCCTCTTCCATGAATGACAGGAACTCCACGCCTTCAGACACGACGAAAGGCCGGCCTCCTCGTTTTTCGTGAGGGGCCGTTATGATATTGAAATCTCCCCCAATGCACCAAGGCCTGGCCACAGGTTTATCCCTAAGTAACTGGCTCCATAAGTCACGACGTTCCTCCACTGAACACTTCACGTGGACAAAAGAGAAAAGCACAGGACCCGACAACCACGGGTGTTGGACAAACAACGAAATATGCTGACTAGAATTCCCAACTACCGAACAACTAAAAGGATGACTAAAGAACACCCAGAGGTCCCCCGTCAGGTTGACCACTACCGAATCAAAAGATAGCCGCATGTGAATGCAATCAATATGAGAGATGTGTGTTTTTGGCTCCGATATAGCCACAAACTGAACACCATGCAATCATACTAATTTTATCAACCTACGCAAATTTGGTCTCCTAGATACTCCCCTAATATTCCACATAAGCATATTAATCATGATGGAGATCCTGGAAAGAGTTATGAGGAGATGTTGCTGACCTGAACTGCCTATCGGATAGCAAATGAATCTGAACCCCCCGTCCCCTGGGCTTTTTGAACCCCATACCACCGTCACCGGGGTGATCAATATTTAACTCCACCACCAACGATGCCGAACTGGTCTCAGGCACAACAACCATCCTTGGCGACAAATTACCCGCTACCTAGGGTAACTCAGTAGGCCGCGTGTCGTCCATACCTCCATACTCCTCTTGTTCAAACTCCAACTCTCTGGCTTCAGACAACCTCGGGATGCCTTCATGCCCCTGTGTTTCACTGCCATGGATTTGCACCTGATCGGCCTGCTGACTCTTTCCCTGGACAACCATCCCAGCTCCCTCACCTATCCCGACTGTCCGCACCATCTCTTGCTTGTTTAGCAGGGCAGACGTATCTCCCTCTTGCCTATTTACCTCCTCGACCTCGTCTTTCTCAGAGGACACAAACTCCTTATTCAATTCTTCTTCACTTGTTGTTGCTGCTTGACCCGCGATTGCATTCTGCTCGGGTGGAGGGAACTCCACTGGACCTCATTCGTCGCCAACATCCTACCGTCCGAGCACCATCTCTCGAACCTGCTGCAGCTGTGTTTGGTTTTGGTCAGCGGCATCAGCGGCCAGGGAAAGTTGCCGCACTTGATCCTGTGGCCCCTCTTGGGTCAGCGCTGTTGCCGCAACAGCAGGCTGCTCCTGGCCGTGGGCAGTTAAGGAAGGTGCCATGACTGGACCATGCCGCATCAGGCAGGCATTCGCTTGTTTCCCTAACCCCTGCTCCACCGACTTCCTTTTACAATCAGTCACCGAGTGACCCAGTCTCCAACACCCAGCACAGTACGCTGGCAAAGCATCAGGGACAATGTTTTGCCAGAAACCAGTTGCACCTTCCACCGCCACCCAAACCCTCAGACATAGCGGTTTCAGCAAATCCACTTCCACGCACACCCTCGCTACACTCGGCCGCGTACCAGCAACCGTCGCTGCATCCAAGAATAATGGCTTCCCTACTGGACTAACGATGGAGAATAGCGAGTGTTTGTCGAAGAAGTGAACTGGTAGAGACGGAAGCGAAAACCATACTGGAGCTAATGAGGATTCCTTGTGGACGTGAAAATTCGATGTCCAACGAAATACATGCATTGGATATTTACCCATCTGCCAAATCCCTCTCGTCCAGATTCTGGTGAAGTCTGGTTCGGCCGAACACCGCAGCAGCACGTGACGGTAATCCAAGAGCCCAACAGCAACATGGTCCTTCAGGTTTAACGTTGTGAAGAACCTCCTTATCTCCTCCAGAGTTGGCCGACCATGGGAGAATTTTCCCACCAGTGTCCACCAATAAGGAGCAGCAAGTTTTTCCACATCTGTCTTGGAGAATATTACCGCTGCCTCACCTTTGTAGGTCGTCGCTGAGCGGAGTTGTATAGGCGAATCATCTGGTTGAGTAAAAGGCTGCGAGAAAAACTTTCGTGCGGATGGCGAGCCTCCATGCCCCTCAGCCGTTGGCCGAAGGGCAGCCATGGGGGCCTAACAGCGGCAACCCTAATGCCAGAGTCCTTCTCCTCCTCCTCTAAATCACCTAATTCACCCCCCTTTTAGGTTGTTTTCAATCCTAACACTATCTAGATGTATTTTGATTTGCTAAAATCCTAATTTACAATTAAATTTACTAAATATATTACCATTTTGTCTTCTGTTTAGTAATTCTGGTTTTCCAAGGATATCATAACTATCATCTATTATATTATCGTTTAATCTTCTATAATCAATAACCATTCTACTCTTTCCCGTAACTATCTTACTATGTTTTTTTTACTATAAATGTTGGATTCCTATGTAGACTATCTGATCTTCTAATTACTTGTGATTTTAGGAGGTCTTCTATATTCTTATTTATCGCTTCTATCTTATTGGATTTTATTATGAAATTAGGATCCTTTAATTCTAATTTACATACTACTTGATTTTTTATCCCAATTTTTCTGTGTGTAATTTCCTATTATCTCATCTTTTTCTAATATTCTAACAAGACTATCTATTTCATATTTCTTGATTCTAAATATGTATAGGTTAAAGGTAGATTTAGGAATTTATCATCTATTTTGATAAAATTTTATTCCAATAATTCATTATCTTCTAGTTCCAGTTCTAATATGATTTTACGTCATCTTTTAAGGGTTTTTTTTAAGGCCTGTTTACATTGTTCTGAATTGAATAGGGGCATGGTCCACCACATATTGGGGAGATTTTTTATGCTAAGGGAAGGAAAGATTGGTGTAAAATATACATGTCAGTCCTAAAGGCTATGAGGCCATATTAGTCAGATAGTAAAAAATTGAGACCAGCAATAAAAGACATCTTACTAAGGGTTAAATTTCTAAGTAAAATTTTATTACTAACTATATTATTAGTATAACCATTAGCAGTATAGAAGGCAATTTTATATTTTGCTAACATAGTATCATATCAAAATAATTTACCGACCATTTGTTCAGCTAAAATTTGTTCAGATGGAGGAAAGGATCTATAGAATCGAGAGGAAACAAGGTTACTATCTAATATAGTACTAGAACTACCAATATCTATAAGGCCTTGTACTTCTAATTGCCAGTTTTGGATCATAATTTTACATTTAATTATAATAGTAGTTAAAGAATTTTATCCCACGTATTCTGTTTTAGGATGTGGAAATATATCTAGTTGTTCTAAATTATGTAATTCATGTACTATTTTTTTTTTTCGGCTAACCCCGTATACGGGGGTGGGCGTCACTCCAATATTTATTCAGAATTCCAACAATGTGTGGTGGACAAGGCTGACATTCTGCTAGTAACATAACAGCTCTACGCAACCTATGCCAAGCGTACATAATGCATCTGTAACTTATCTAGGCGGGCTAACCCCTTTATACACTCCGGGATTTGAGAAGGAGAAAATCTCTGACAAACATGCGTGAAACTTGCTAGATTTGCAAGGGCATCTGCAACTGCGTTTGCTTCCCTATAGGTGTGAGTAAAAGTAATCTGCCGGCCCAGGGCTATGGCTTTGATGTGCGAGATAGTACTCCATAGCTTCCAAGGAACACTTCCATTGCCAGTCACCATGCGCACCAAGACTTGAGAATCCATTTCGACGTGCAACCAGTGAAATCCAGTAGAAACACGCATGCCCTCTAGCAGCGCCAAGGCCTCTGCTTCCATATTTGTCATTGACCCCAAAAATGTTGAGAAACCGCTCAGGATGGTACCATCTGAATCACGTAGCACCCCTCCAGCTCCTGACGGTCCGGGATTTCCTAGGGACGAGCCATCAATATTGAGCTTCACACACCCGCTTGGCAGCATGACCCATGTGACCCTGCGCGGGAGCCTCTGTCTCCTCCGTGTCATGCTAAGCAACAACCCGGATTGCACCAACTCCCTGTCGTGCGCCATCTGGACGAAAGAGTGGGATTAGGAAATGCTGAGTAGCAAAGCCTGTATGTTCCGACAAACCTGTGTTGGCGTCAACCTAACACCCTCGTACATTGCCACGTTCCTAGCCTTCCACAATCCCCAACTTATGATTGATGGCAGTATCCTACATAATTCACCCCGAGCGGTACTTTGAGATTTATAAAGCCACCATTGTTGCAAACGGCAGACGACACCATTGGAGGGCTGAATAAGTATCCGAAGGACGCTGGAGAAGAAATTCCACACCTCTGTTGCAAGCGAGCAATCGGACAAGACGTGATCCTGAGACTCTCCGGTGGGGCAGAACTGACATTTGGAAGGGAGTTGGAAGCCAAACCTACGCAACGCTTCAGGGAAAGACAAGTAGTTATTGAGCAGTTTCCACATGAAAATGGAAATTTTGCAAGGGAGCCGACAATCCCATATACATCTCCTTGAACCAAGTTACACCCGCTGAGGCCGCATTGCATCCCATGCCGAGGAGACGGTAAACTCTCCGGAGGCTGTAAGGACCCAAGCTCACCGAACTGTGTCATCTAACTCTATAACCTGCGTGAATTGGTCCACCGTGTCGCGGACGGCCAGCATTCGTCTCCAGACTCTGGATGCTACCTGCTGCGCCCCACTGTGCACACTATATCTGGATCTCATGAAATCGGCCCATAGGGATTTGGAATTGGAATACCGCCACCACAATTTATAGCTAAAAGCCCCATGTATGTCCTCAAAGCAACGTAGCCCAAGCCCGTCCTCAGCTGTGGGGTAGCACAAGTTCTTCTAGGAGCACCAGTGGTGTTTTGGCCCGAACTCCGATTGGCCCCAAAAGAAGCCAGCCATTAGCCGTTCTAGACTGTGGATCACCGCTTTGGGGGGATCCATGACCGCCAGGACATGCAAGGGTATGGCAGACAAAACATGCTTAATTAGGATCAAGCGACCCCCTTGTGTGAGAAGCTTCTTCTGCCAACCCGCCAGCTTAGCAACAAACTTCTCAATCAAAAAGTGGAAGAACTCCCTTTTCCGACGACCAGCGTAGAGGTTGCACCCCAAATAAGAAAAAAGAAAGGAGCCATGCCTGAACCCTGTTAGATGTTGGATTTGGCGAATTTGGCCAGCGCCACACCGCTTTAACACTATAAAGAAACTCTTTTGCTTGTTGATCTGTTGCCCCGCTCTATTCTGATAGAGTGTTAAGAAATGGAGCAGATTGCCCACTAATCTCCTATCTCCACGAGCAAATATGACAATATTGTCCGCAAAAGCCAAGTGTGTGATACTAGTGCAGCCTCTCGGCATTGCATAAGGAGCGACACTACCACCCGCCACCAGCGCATTTAAACCCCTACTAAGAGCCTCAAATGCCAAAATAAATAGAATAAGGGACAAGGGGTCACCTTGCTTAATCCCGCGTGATGCCTGAAAAAAACCCCTCGACCTGCCATTTACCAAGACAGAAAACCAGTTTTAAGAGAGATTATTTAAAACAAGCAAAATAAATCTATAATCGAAACCAAATTTCTGGAGGAGCCGCCGCAGAAATCCCCAGGACACTCTATCGAAGGCCTTCATCATATCTAATTTGAAAATGCAATTGTGACCTCAAGCCTTTCGATTGATGGACGCCACCATTTCTTGTGCCAGGAGGACATTTTCGCCGATATCCCGGCCTGGACAGAAAGCGGATTGTTCCTGAGAAATAATGCTTGGAATGATGGCCCGCAATCTATTAGCTAACACCTTCATAAAAATCTTGTTGACGAAGGTGCATAAGCTAATGGGACGAAAATCTGCAAATGTAGATGGGTTAGGTTTCTTTGGAAGCAAAACAATCAATGTACTAGCAATGTCTTTCGGGATCGGTGTGCCGGCCATAAAATCTCTAGCTGCTGCCCAGGCATCAAACGCCACAGTATCCCAGCAGTGTCTGAAGAAGGCGCCTATGTAGCCATCCGAACCTGGAGCATTATCCTTGTCGAGCTCGAAAATAACCCTTTTTACCTCCTCCATTGTTACCTCCCCTAGCAATTCCACATTCTGGTCTACAGTAACAAGCTCGGGGACGTAGATTAGCAAATCTTCTATCCCCCCCCACTTCTTCGGCTGTTAAGAGCCGCTGAAAAAAGTCAACGGCTTCGCGCGCAATTTGTTCCTCATCATCAACCCATGCCTCCTCCCCATCTTTAATGCGATGAATCGCAAGTTTCGTTCTTTTCTCCCGGACAGAGGCATGGAAGAACCGTGTGTTGCAGTCACCATCCTTCAACCATTGGAGGCGCGCCTTTTGGCGCCAGTATTCCTCTTGAACGCGTAAGCTTTGCAGTAGGCGGCCTGGTGCGCAGTGAAGGGCCTCCCTCGCCTCCTCCGTTGGATTGGCTTCATATAGGACCTCCTTCTGCTGAACTTCGATCTCGTGTTGTCGAGCTGCTTGAAATATATCTCCAAATTGATGTTTGCTCCAGTGCCTTAGCCATGTTTTCAACCTCTTTAGCTTGAACGCCAAACGGTACATACCATACCCTTGTGTCGACAGCTCCCAATTACTCTGTACCGTTGATATAAACCCAGGGTTCGAAATCCAAAATGTTTGAAATTTGAATGATTTTGGTACACTGGCACTGGCAGGCCGCATGCTCACTAACAATGGCGAGTGGTCGGAGCTGGTATGGTTGAGGTGCTGAACTGAAGTATTCGGCAAGAAGTCTAGCCACTGTTGGTTGACCAGCGTCTTCTCCAATCGCTTCCAGATTCGAGTCCCTGCTCTAATACCGGACCACGTATAAGAGCTGCCGGTGTAAGATAGCTCTTGTAGGCGGCAATTAGAAATGGCTGTGTTAAAATCAGAGATTGCTCCAAGATCTTGAGGAGCCCTACCCGTGTATTCCGCCAGTGTACTGATAACGTTAAAATCTCCTCCCACTAACCACAGCCGTGTGATCGATCTCGCGATAGAGCTTAATTCGGACCATAAGGTCTGCCTTTCGGCCTTGGAACACTTGGCATATATAAACGATGCATTAACAGTCTCGGTCCAGTTGTCATGCCCCGCCATAACATGAAGAAGTTGCTCCGAATTATATAACATAGTAAAATGAAAACCAGATTGCCAGAGCATCTAGATCTTATTCGATGAATTAAATAAGCAAAAATCAAAAGATAACTTTGCACGCAAAACCTCTAAATTAGACGCCTCGGCTAGAGGCTCCAAGAGTATTAAAACAGCAATTTTATGAAGTTGGATTAACGCTCGCAAGCGACGCACAAAAGCGATGTTTGCCGCTCCCCGAATGTTCCAAATGAGCAGATTATGCATTAATGAGAGGGTGATGTGGTACCTGGATGGCTCTAGAAGCTTGCCGTGTTAGAATCTGTCGGGGCAGTGGAACATAGGCCCGCCTCTTCCTCGTCTTCCGCGAAAGCACCATGGTAAAACCCTCCTCATCGCGATCAACCCCTGGTTGGGGCAGCCTCGGCCTCAAGGCAGTGCTAAACTGCTTGAGGGAGTGAACCAAAGTTTCTCTATCAAGCGCAGCTGCTCCTGGCATGTCCTCTCCATCAGAGAGGGATCCATGGGCCAACGTCTTCTCCTGCTCATTTATCTTGAGCTGCGTATCGTCACAAATACCACCCAAGGCTGGTGGGATGTCAGTAACTTCCCATAATGCAGTCTCGGGCTCTTGCTGCTGCAGCAATGCACTTTGGGCAGCTGTTTGGGCAACTGTCGCCTCCTGCTCGCCCCACTTGTGCTGCGCATCAGCACACAGAAGCCCCAACGCTGGTGCGGCTTCATTGGCATCCATCTCAGGCGTCTGCTGCCTGATAGCGGCCTGTGGAGCCTGTGTGTGGGTGATGGTAGCCCTTACCTCCTCCTGGTAGTACCCGCCTACCCTGGGCTCAGTAGCACACTGTCCCTGGTTAGGTTGCCCAGCCATGGCATCCCCCTTTGCTGCTGGGCCAACGGTAATTGCTGGGCGGGCTTGCTCCTGCTTGCCGTGCCGACAACCTGAGGAAGGGTGACCCTGTCGATGGCAAACGGAGCAATAAAGCGGTAAGTTTTCATAAGTTACCGTCTGCCAGAAACCATGGCTGCCCGTTGCGATCCAGACGCGACCAGGCAAGTCCCTGGAGACGTCCAAGTCAACACAGACGCAAGCCACATTGGGACGGGCTAAAGCTGCCGTCGCCGAATCGACTTTCAGAGGGCTGCCGATTGCACTAGCAATAGAGAACAGCGCAACCTTGTTGAAGAAGTGAACAGGCAATTGTTCCAAAGCAATCCATACTGGTGCGTGGGAGGATTCACTGGTAAGCTGAAAGTCAGGAGCCCACTTGAAAACGAGCATGGGGAAATCAGCAATGCTCCAGAGGCCTTTCATCCAACACTGCAAGTAGTCTTCCTCCATCCCAAAGCGGATGAGGACATGCCGCTAGTCCAGAAGGCCGATGCTGAAACTGGACTGGAATCCAATTGTTGAGAAGGATTTGCGCATAGCATCAAGGCTTGGCCGCCCATGAGAAAACTTCCCAACGATGGCAAACTTGAAGGGCGCAGCCATCTTAGCAATATCCTCATCCGAGAACAGAATTGCTGGTTCCTCTTTGAACTGAGAGAGAGGTCTGATCTTGCACTGCGACAACGACGGCTGATTCTAAAGGACTTCAGCAAAGGAGCGGCTAGCCCCTCTTCCAGGCGGCTGGAGGCCAGCCATGGTTGGAGTCCAAAGCTTCCCAAAAAAGAAACCCTAAAGAAACCCTAGCCTACCAGAACGCTCATCTAGTACTCAGTATTCTTTTTGGTTTGGATGACTTTTGAATTAATGGAATGTGCAAAAGTATTGTTTTGGGAAGGGGTGTGCTTTATCGCCCTTTCCCAAGTAAAATTGAAAGTTATTGTTCTGTACTATTTCTTTATTTTTTTTCCTTTTTCTATTTGAATTATTCTTTCTTCTAAGTCATTTAATTTATTTTCTAATTTAATAATCATTTTTCCTAGGTCTTCCTTATCCGATTTATTAGATGTTGATGGTCTTTGTTCTATTAATTCTAAACCTTGTTTTTCTAGGCAAAATTTATATGTTTTTGTAGAGCAAAGGTTACATTTATATCTTAAAATTAGTACAGGATACTTTTTACAAAAATTAGAAGGATGATCATCTGAACCACTTCTATGTATTTAATTATGGTTGCATACTATAGTTTCTACTAAGTTTTCTAATATTTCATCCATGTCTTTTAGGTATTTCATTTTATCAATATATTCTTCTTTATATTTTCTATTTGATTCTATGAGTTCTGATGCTAATTCTCCTTCTTCATTATCACTGCTAGATTCTTCAAGTGTTCTATCTTATATTGACACAATAATATAAATAGATTCATTGCCATCCATATATTTGTCTACTTCTAAAATATTATTGTTAACACATTCTACTAAAATTGAATTTTTATTATGTAAATTATTTTTATGATTACATTCTTGTGAAAGATGATCAGTACTACCACAAGTGAAACATGCTAATTTATTATTATAATTTCTTCTAGGGTTATATTTTCTAACATGTCTATCTTTATTTAAATATGATTTTCTTGCTGAAGATTTTTTAAGGTAATATTTCTTTTTATTTTTATACTTATCTTTTTTATATTTCTTTTTTTCCTTTTCTTTCTATACCATCATATCTTTGTGGAGTATATATCCGTTTACAAAAATTATATTCTCTTTTTAATTGTTTAGTAATTTGTATATTTGTACATTTTTCTACCAAATGTGCTATGATAAATTGTATTCTAGTTGGTATGTTATCTAATTGAGACTGCGCTATCTGTTGTTCTAAATATTTTTTTACATATCTCTAATCCTAATGGATCAGGTAATTCTAATTATGTATCTCTAATCCATGTCTTCTCTACTAATTCTAATTAATTATATTGTAAAATGTAATGGTTCTATCCTATAAAGAGTTTTAGGTTTTATTAAATTAATTTGATGATTATTAAAAGTTTCTACATTTCTATCTATGTCTACTATATCTTCTCAAGTCCTTTCACTAGTAAAGGGCCTACTTCCTACCATGCTTCCTAGAAACGTAACTTACCTGGAAATAACTTCAATTTCGAATGGTACAGTAGAACTTTTTGCCCACATTCAAATGTCTTCCTAGAGATCTGCTGGTCATGAAATATCTTATTCTTCTCCATATAAATCACATCATTCTCGTAGGCTTCATTGCGAATCTCCTCCAATTCTTGTAACTGTAACTTCCTTTGAATTCCGCCCTCTTCAATGTCCATATTGCATTGTTTAACTGACCAAAATACTCTATGCTCGAACTCGACGGCGCAGTCCCTAATATCAGTGAGATCTAATTAGTTTTCACGCGTTTCTTAATTTATTAATATTTGCACGTTGCCTATTTGAATTTTCATGGGATTATTTTGTTAATTGGATGTCAAGGGTCCGATGTTCAATGTGACTTATTAATCTCCTATCAAATTAGTCAATTGAATTCGTAATTATTTGATTAATTAATGTTAGTGGCAACTGGCGTATTTACACACTAGGGGAACGGGTAATCTAATTTAAATAACCCTCGTAGCGTGTTATTGATTGGATCTAGGTTTTTCTAGATCTTAATGCAATTGGAAAATTAATTCCTACGGTCGTATCTAAGAGTATTTTCTGGTTAGGGATAATCAATGGTCGTACCTTGGTTACCAATAAATTAAGGAAAAGCTGGTCGTTAGAGTTCATCGGCGACTATAACTAGCCTATTAATAAATTAAGTGAACCTCCCTTGCATCAATGATCGGGTAAGTGGACTGTGTCTGAGTAGTTGTATCCTTGGTTAGAATTTATCTATTCTTGATTTAATTCCTGCCTATATTCGTGCTAGTTAATTATTTATTTTTAGTGAATTGCTTAATTATTTTTAGTTTTACTCCAATAAAATCCCCCTTCACCAATTGGAATTTCAAAGAGACAAATATCTCCAGTCCCTGAGAAGACGACCCTACTTGTCACTGTCTACTATTTAGTAAATTTTGTCCACTGATTAATTCTGGTATATCGGATTAAGCAAATTCTTCGGGAACAGGGTGAATCAAGTAGCCCATTGCACACCTAGAGTCCCTGCTCCAGTACCTAGGATTAATTATTGACTGCTTTTAGTGGTATTTAGGTTTTTATTATTATTATTGCACAGGCTCGACAACCTGTCAATTTTTGGCGTCGTTACCGGGGACTGACGTTAATTATTTGTTTCTTTTTAATTTCAATTTTGTTCTAAATTTCTGGTATTTTTTCTAGTTTATGCCTCGTTCTTCTCATACAGGCGAATTAATTTTTGATTCTGAAGTAGAGAAGACCGCACGTAAAATGAGAAAGAAAACCAGACAACTCAGAGAAGAGCACTCAAGTGCTGCATCTCAGAGATCTGAGCTAGAAGTTGGACCAGCAGATTCGTTTGGTGACACTTCGAGTGACTCGGATCAAGAGAAAGTCACCATGGCAAATGCACAAACACTAAGGGAGTTGGCTGCGTCTAATTTAAATCAGCAACCTTTGTGCATTACTTTTTCAAGTTTGAATGATAACACATCTTTTGAATTAAAATCTGGCCTAATTCATCTCTTATCATCTTTCCATGGTTTACCAAGTGAGGAGCCCTACAAGCACTTGCAAGAGTTCGACGTCGTCTGCAACAGTATGAAACCCCCGGGAATCACAGAAGAGCAGATAAAAATGAGGGCCTTTCCCTTCTCTTTGAAGGACTCCGCTAAAGATTGGTTGTACTACCTACCACCAGGTAGTATCACCACGTGAGACCAACTGAAGAAAAAATTTCTGGACAAGTACTTTCCGGCGCTTCAAGCTGCAAGCCTAAGGAAGAAAATATGCGGCATCAAACAACACCCAGGTGAGTCTCTCTACGAGTACTGGGAGAGGTTTAACAAACTGTGCATCAAATGCCCTCAGCATCAGATAAGCGAGCAACTGCTCATCCAATATTTCTCTGAGGGGCTACTCTTCAGGGACAAGAGCATAATCGATGC